CCAAAGCAAGCTCTCTCCTATCTGCCTACAAGTCATCCACACCTCACATTTACTCTCACCATACCTTTCTTCACACCTTTTTGGAGGTGCTGCTGGGAGATCGCCATTTTCCCCTAACTAGTGCTCCAACCGTACTGCTCACAGCAGGACTGGAGTGTCCCTCAGATAATGTTGAAATCAAAGGTAGGGGTTAATAGCCCACTCCACATTTACTAATGTGCTTGGTTATAGCTACAGAGCTGCCTTCCCTTCTTCCCTGGAAGCAGCAGGGATGCCAGCTGGAGAGTGAACCCATCCACCCCATGTCAGGATATCCTAGATGCCCAGCTGAGGACAAGGCGCTGGGATCTACAGCCACCGTCCCTGTGGTTAAACCTCCAAAGACTTCTGGAAAGCTGGTACCTCCCATGCTTCGTGCAGGTGAACCACGGGGCTTCTAGTGAAGCGTGGATGAAAAAATCCTGGGGAGGCAGGTGTCACTGCACAAGGCATGTGCTCAGCAGGGCAGAGAGGGCTGCGGCAGGTAGTTGTGGCCGAGTGGTGAAGACGATGGACTAGAAATCCATTGGGTTTTTCCTGCACAAGTTTGAATCCTACCAACTATGGGGTGCAGTCCTGCTTTGGACTGCCTGCAAGGACCATGCTGCAGCTGAGGAACTTGAAACCCCCTTGACTAGAGCACTGCTAATGCAACTTGCTTAGAGTAATGCACACTGTCTAGGACAGTGACCTGAAGACACCCCCTAAACTGACTCTCAGTCACTGGGAATTCCACTGTCAATAGTTACCAATTCCATGAGGGGCTTCCTTGCCTGATGTGCTTCTTGGCATATGGTTAGGGTTGGCCGGTCCTATCAGCCAATCACAGGTCTTCCTGAGAGAAGGTGTGGCAAGGCGAGGCCAAGAACTGGCTGTTAGACTCTCACAGAGCAGTATGAAAACATCTTGGTTATGATGTGGAATAAGAAAATGGCATCTCCCTGCCACAAAATGGCAGCTGAAAGGAAATGGCAGCCCCCGTGTGTGCAGGGGAAAGTCCTTCCTTGTCAGATGTACTTGCAGGGATATGGGGAGGGGTGGCAGGTCCTTCCAGCCACTCACAACAGACCACATCACAGGGAGAGGGCACTGCCTTCAAGGGAAATGGTACACCTGGCTGTCTGCCAGGGACGGTTGAGGCCAAGGGGCCTATTTGGACCGAAGTGGAGGGCAGAGCACCCGGTCTGCCTTATCTGGGGTAAAAGTACTCCCTCTACTACTGACAGCCATCACTCCAAGTGATCAGTGATGTGGAGGTGAGGGATTTGCTGTGGGAAATATGGGATACGACCCAGTCTGGGCCAGTGGGCATGGGGATTGACCAAAGCAATCACCCACCACCCAACCCAGTGGCTGCACAAGGCAGATTTTAGCTAAGAAATAGTAGAGTCCTGTGTCACAAGAATTCGCAAGTGGCCTGTGCTGACTGAGGAGAGAGCCTGGGACTCAAAGTATAGAATTACAAGAGTACATATGCAGGCATGTGCACGAGGTGTCCCGGCAAAAGTAGGGGCACCCGGAATTTAGTTTTGCAGGGAGTACTTACACCTTTCAAATGTTCAGGTACAACACAACTTGACTGACCAGCAAGACCCACATTACTCACAAGTTGCAACGGGGCTAATGCCAGCTGCCCTTCTATGAAACGAAGTGACAGGGGGTGCAGTGTGTCCCTGGAAGAGCTGCCCAAGACATAGTGACCTCTCCACCAGTGACAGTATTCTTAAGTCAGTGGGACAAGGCACGGAGCCTGCTGAGGTAGCTGAGAAGTTTGGTTCGCTTGGAGCAGCGGACCAGAGCAAAGGGCTTCCAGTGGTTCTTTCCAACCGTCATTACTCTGGGGGGACACTGAGTCTCATGGGCCCTTGAGCAGCCACCAAAAGGCAATGCCTTGGAAGGCAGCAGCAGCACAAGATTGCACAGAAGCACCAGCCGTTTCATCAACAGTGCTAAAATATGTGGAAATTTCCTTGAGGAAAGTGGCGCTTTAGGACTATGAGCTCTGGTATCCCTGGCACATCTGAGGCTGGGCCACCATGTCCACTGAAGTCCAGAGCAGGGTGACTCATGTTTGCCTGCAGCTCTGGGTTTTTCCCAACTCCTCCACATCACGATGACTCCCAGGTGCTGTGGGAGACTGATGTGCGACGCCCGTTTGGAGATTGAAATGCATGGAACGTGCCGCCCCATCCCTGACCCAGGAAAAAGGGCCATGAGCTTTTGGCTCCCTGCCCTGAGCCTCTCCTGAAAAGCAGGCCATCCAGGCCTCTGGCTTCTAGGCTGACAGTGATGAGCTAAACAGGTCATTTTGCCTGTGGGTTTATTTCACGGAAGGATGCACGCATCTCTTTGACCACACTCCTATGCCTCAATTTGCCTGTGTCCCACAGGTTCTCCACATCCCAAGATGACCCCTGAGGACTGGTTGGAAGAATTGTGAAGGCTTTGTCATGTCATCCTAGGGACAGTGCTACTGAGATCCCAAGGAGATATCGCTTGAGAGCGACTGGCCTCAATCTGTGGCCTACTCTTTCTCATTATGGATCTGCTATGGTCCCTGGCCTTGTGGGCAGAAAACATAGGCTTTTTCAGAGCCTGACAAATGTTGGAAGGGTCCTTGTGGCCCTCATTCCTTCCCGCAAGCAGCTTCCCTCCAGACCACAATGGTAACTTTCCTGGCCATGCGTTTTGCTCAACAGATGCCACCATCTCCTGTGAGCCCATGATGACTCGCATAGAGAGAGATGTCTCCCAGTGCTAGACAAACTATGCACTAAAGCCCTTTTTCAAGAGCAAGGTGATCAAAGGGGCTCAGCTGTGGGGAGGTCTGTCCACCGGTATTTATACCTTCAGCAAATGGTTGCTTAGCAAAAGGACAAGCGTTCACTCTCTGATCTGTGTTTCAGCTTTGACACCTTCACCAAGATATGTTTCCTCCTACACCTGCGGTAGCTGCAACACAGGTGCTGTCCACGCCAGAAACTTCACAGATGGCTCAGCGTGTTAGATCACCCACACAGTTGCTCGCTCACACAGCCCAGCCTGATGCTCCCTGGCACAGCCAGCAATCACGCTTCAAAGTCACATCAAATCAGCTCCGAAGTGCTTTCAGTGGAGAGCCTTGGGCTAACTGAGGGAGACGTCTATCTCCCAGTGGGTCTATATAGACTGGCAGGAGATGGTGGGCGAAGAGACTCACATCTGCAGAGATGCAGTAAAACTCAATGACAAGGAAGGATCATTGTGGGCAGGAGTGAGGGCCACGAGGACCTTGCTCACGCTCAACAGGCTCTGCCACAGCCTGTTTTTTATGACCACATGTCCAGGGAATGAAGGCACGTTTTTAAACGACAGGGAGCAGACCAGAGGATCAGGCAGGTCTCTTTCAGGTAATGTCTCCATGGGATCTCCATCGCCATATCCCTTGATTAACTTAACATTAAGCTTGGTCTGCTCAGAGCAAGAGGTTGTCCCAGAGCCATTCCAGAAGAACCATCCATCCCACATCATTCTGGGCTGCACTCACTCTCGTGGGTCCCTGAGCAGCCACTGGCAGGCAATGCCTTAGAAGGCAGAAGCTGCACGAGGTTGCACAGAAGCACCAGTTGATTCAGGAATGGTGCTAAAATGTGCTTTTCCTTACAGAAAACCGCAAATTGGGACTATGAGTTCTGGTATCCCTGGCACAACTGAGGCTGGGTGACCGTGTCCACTGAAGTCCACAGCAGGGTGAGTCCTGCTTGACAGCAGCTCTGGGATTTTCCCAACTCTTCCACATCATGATGACTCCCAGGTGCTCTGAGACTGATCTGATGTGCCTTTGTAGCGTGAAATGCATGGAATTGGCCACCCCCTCTCTGAATCAGGAAAAAGGGCCATGAGGTTTTCATTCCCAGCTGTTCACCTCTCCTCCTAATCAGGCAAGCCACACCTCCGTCCTCTGGGATGACCTTACAGAGCCAAACGGGTCAATTTGGGTGTGGGTCTCCTTCAGGGAAGGACGCGGGCAAGCCTTTGATCACAAAACCAGTCTGTGGTAAAGCCTGATGAGCGTAAACAAGGTCCCTGTGCCATCATCACCCCTGCCCACAGGGGGCTTCCCTCCACCTCACAGTGGTCTTTCCTTGACATTGAGCTTTGCCACATCCCTGGAGTGGTGCGTCTCTCCTCCCATATAGGATTGTGCAGTCTTGAACATCTGCCTGAAGTTACCCACTGCCTCCTGTGTGTCTACGATCACTCAGGAAGGGAAATGTCCCTACAGGTTTTAGACTGAGTGCCTGCAAAGAAAGCATTTGAGAGAAGAATTGAGGTGCCCATTTCACCATGACACGTGGACTAGTTAACCACGAAGAGGGCAATGAGACTAAAGGAATTTGTATGAGGCAAGTCAACTAAAAATATCTGTCTGTCCTGCGTAAGAACTCAGAGTTAATTGACTTTATAAACCTGGGATACAGATGAATGATTTTGATGTTCGATGGTATGAAAAAGAGGACAATATGTGGGATGTAAGAAGCGAGGGCTTAGTCACCAGGGAAGCCTTGGGAAGCGGAAACTCCTAGGTGTTCAGATGCTTCATGAGCAAGGAATGTTTGTGGCCCCACAGGGCTCTGGGACACAGCATAAAAGCCTGCGCTGCTCCAGGCTCTGCATCCTCCTCTCTTGCTTCACTTTCCTCGACGAACGAGGTAAGTCTGGGTCTACTCCATGTCTCTCTCTGTACGCAGAATTGCTGCCATGGTGGCATCTCAGGTTGATATTTCTCTGCCTCAGCATGGTCCCGCAATTGAACAGTTGAAGGGCTGTCACCTCTGTCCATTTTTTGTAGAGCTGGCTGTGGAGAAATGGGAAGAGGGTGTTCTTTCAAGCAGAAGGGTATCAATGGGGCTCAGCTGTAGGGGTGTCTGCCTCACCAGAATTTGCACCCGCGGCAGATGTTCTCTAACCAATGGCCAAGTGCTTCATCAATGCAACAACAGTTGTTCTGGAGATGGGGTATGATCAGGTGCTTTAAACCCACTGGGCTTGGTCCTATCCCAAAGTGGGTCAACGTTCCTGCACTGTGCTACCCAGAGGAGTGCATTACGAGCTGTAAGAAGACTATGTGTGTTTAAGAGGTGATTTCTGAGACACCCATTCAACGCAGCCCATTTGTGCTGGGATACTTGCATCAATCTTCGTCTGTGCTATTGTACTGGGAAATGCAGTAGGAGGTCCTGGTGCAATCAGCAGCCAGTTAGGCACATCTTTGCTCCCAGTGTTTCAAATCCAACTTAGGGGAATACGTCATGCACGTTGTGTGTGTTAGAGAGATCAGGTGCAGGCATTTCCTGCACCTGCAGCTAGAAATGGAGATGGAGAGCAGCCAAGTGTATCTGCAGAGAGAGCTGTGGACATGAGAGCCAAGTTGATGTTTTGGTCTGTGTTTCCTTCCTGCTCTGTGTTGCAGCTTTGCTTCCTTCACCGAGAGATGTCTTGCTTCAGACCCTGTCCCCCACGGCCCTGCTGTGCCTCTGGCCCAACCCCACTTGCAAGCAGCTGCAGTGAGCCCTGTGTCGCCCGCTGCGCTGACTCGACGGTGTTCATCGAGCCCTCGCCAGTGGTGGTGACCCTGCCAGGCCCCATCCTCAACTCTTTCCCTCAGAGCACGGCTGTGGGATCGTCTCTGTCAGCTGCTGTTGGGAGCTCCCTCAGTGCCGGGGGAGTTCCCATCTCTTCTGGGGGCTCCCTTGGTCTGGGCGGGTCCGGGATGTGTCTGCCTGTCCCGCGCTGCAGTCTGAACTGCTGAAGCTGGCGGCTCATCCCTTCAGGAGCAGGACGGAAGACGGGACCCTGCAGCAGCAGGTCATGGACATGTCTTGAAGGCAGGCTGGGTGTCCTCATGGCACCTGGCAGGAGTGACCTTTGTCCACTTCTCCTCATTGCATGGCTGGCGTGGCCGTGTCTCCTCTGGCTCTGTTTTCTCTGAGCCCTCCAGAAAGGGCTCGTTCTCTTCTGCTTTGCTGAAGCCCCTGCTGAAGGGGAGACGGTGCTGGAGTTAGGGACTGCTCTTGGTGGGCTGCCATTGCCACCAGGGAGAGCAGAATGGGAAAAGGCAAGCGCTTTGTGTGCAGCTTGTCCTTGGGAAACGGGCCATACTCTGTGCGTCCCTCAATCCTGCAGATGTGTTTCTTGGTCTCTGTTCTGTGCCACTGCATTTCCTCCTTCTCATTAAAGACTTTGTGCAACATAGGTGGAGGCTTATGTCTTGTTTTGTTTTCTGCTCCTTCCCAGTTTCGCCAAGTCCTCTGCAAGTGAAAGGGAGAACATGGTCTGTGCTGTGACGTTGAGTCTGTCGCCAATCTTGGGGCACCACCAGTTGTGGGTGGAGCTCCTTGATCTTGTACGAGAGCACTGAAAAAATCGAAGAAGGAAAAAGAGAGCCAGCAAAAGGTCAGTGGAATGGAGAGATCAAGAAGTAATGGACAGGATTTGAAGTACAAGTAGTGCCTCACACAGGAGCCCTGTCTTACCATGAGGCTGGTCAAACATGGGAAACAGTTACCAAGGGAGTACTGTAGAGTGTTCATCTTTCGAGATGTCCAATATATGACCAGAGAAGTCCTGGAAGAGCCTCCTCTACTTGTGCCTGCTTTGAGCTGGGCTTGGTCTGCATGTTCTCCACCCCATGTGTTGTGTGATTGGGTGGGCCAATGCTGGATGCCCTCAGGCAGGAGCGGCGGTCAAGCTGAATGGAGCAGACAGGAGCTGGGGGCCACTGCTCAGGAAAGCTGCAGAGGTTTGGTGGGCACATGTCACGAGAGTGGGCACTGGTGTCAGTCCCATGGCTGGGAGCACAGGAAAGGAAGGAAGATCAGAGTAAGGTCAACCTGATTAGAGCTGACAGAAAGGCTGTTATGTGTAACCATGCCGAGGAATGTCCTGGGAGAGCCAAAAGGCTGAGGTCCCACTGAGATTTGAACTCATACCGCTGGATTCAGAGCCCAGAGTGCTTACCATTACACCATGGGACCTCCTTCACAAGCACATTCTTTCCCCTGAGGCCACCCTCGTGGAGCCTTCTACTCCTGGCTGAGCCTGGCTGTCTCTCCATCTCCGTGGACATCACCAAGTACAGTCTTCCTCCAGGGCCACTGGCTGCTCTCTACTCACCGGGCCTTTCAAGGGACTGGCAGAGCTCTTTGCACAAGCCTCGCGTGCCCTCTCTTACAAGAGCCAGGCTGGTAAGTGCTGAGAATCTTGCTTTTGCCTACTTGGACCAGGTTAGGTAGTTTCCAGTAGAACCTCTTCCATGGTGCACCTGAGACGGTGCATTCATGGCCCAGCAGCTGAAGGTTCAGTCCTTGCACTTGTGGTCTCTGCTGCTGCCTCCCTTTGCCCTCATGTTGGACAGTGTGTCCATCTGCCCGTGTAAGTTATTGCCTCTCCTGTTTCTCACCTTGTAGCTCATACTAAGCAGCCATTAACCAGATAACCTTACTCCTGGTTCCAGTCCTACCTGAGCTCCTGACCTTGCTGAACAAGGTGACCAAGAGAGGGGGCAGGGGATGAGCTTCAGTAGAGGGAAGATCTGGCAGGAGTACCCAAAGGAGCTTGTTATGTTTTGCACAAGCTGGACTTCCTTCCTCTGCTGGGGCAGTCTTGGCTGACTCCAAACTCTGGTCCTCTCTTCCAGGACTCGCTGTCCCCTTGTGCCCCAAAGTGGCCTCTCCCTCCCTGGAAACCCCATTTTCTCTCCTGAGGCTGCTCCAGACTCGGCAAGGTTTCAATGTCCAGCCTGAGGGAACTTTCCCTCATGTCCTGGCACCAGCACACTGCCTGCCCAGAAAGGGTCCATGCACACAGCCAGGAAAAGCTGCAGTGGTGCGTTCCTCCTTCTGCCAAGGTTTGAGCCTGTGTGTTGAGAGCAGGGCCCTTCCTCCCAGCAGTCACACAGGAGGAAACCCATGTGGGGACACTCTATTGGATCTCAGACTTAGCCCGGGACACTGAGGACACGACCTCCTGATACCTTTGCACTTCCTAAAGCATTGGGCTGGCATCTGGTACTTCTGAACCCACACGACAGAGCGCGCAGTCATACCCAAGCCTAAGATATTAAATGCCAGGTCACATTCAGAGGAGGCAGGAGAAACACCTAGTGTCGTGGTTTGGGTCTGGTCGGCAACCAACCACAGCAGCTGGTCACCCTCTTTTCAACATCCCCACCTGGGAATGGGGGAGGGGATTAGAGAGGTGAAGGTAGACTCGCAGGTTGAGACAAGAACAGTTTAATAATGGCATTAAAATGAGAACAATGAGAACGATAGGAGGAAAACAAAAAGAAATATATATACAGACAATGTAGAGCGTAATTGCTTACCACCCACTAACCAATATCCAGCCGGTTCTTGGCTAGCGACCCCGAGATACCAGGATCCCACAATCGCAATCCCGGAAACGAGAGAGCTCCTTCCCAACCACCCCTCCTTTATATAGTGAGCATGATGTTCCATGATATGGAATATTTCTTTGGCCAATTAGGGTCAGGTGCTGTGGACGTGCTCCCTCCCTGCTTTCTGTGCCCTTGCGCACGGGCAGGACATGGGGAGTCTGGAAGTCCTTGAATTTTCAGTAGCAGCTGAAAACATCAGTGTGCTATCAGCATTTTTCTCATACCAAAACCCAAAGCTAAATCCAAAACAAAGCACTCATCTACTCCTTGAAAAGGAATATTAACTCTATTTCATCCCAAACCAAGACACCTAGACACTGGAGAAGGGTTAAATCTCTTCAGAGGCACAACTCTGAAAGCTTGTCCCGGAGAAGCAGCATTGCTGAGGGCTTTCCTCACATATCCCTGGGATCTGCAGGGCCCAGGTGGGTGGGAGCAGCGAGAGCAGGGCCCAGTCTCTGAAGGCCTTTTAAAAAGGTGGAGGAAACCCCCCTCGAGGGGCGGCGGCACAGGGAAAGGGACAGCTTTTTCCCATCCATGTGCAGTACTGCCATCGGAAGGGACATATCTCTTCTGGGGTCAGACAGTGGATCTCCAAGCAACAGAGGATGTTCCTGGGCTTCTTCCCAGGCTCACTGGTGTCACCCAGCACTCGGGGATCCCAGAGGGGCTCTGTATGAACAGCTGTATGGGCTTGTGCAGGCAGCTTCCTTGCTCAGGGTATTTTGTCCTTGGTTTCCTTCCTGGCAGCGTTGCCTGCTGGGACTAAAGTGCTCCCAAGCTCATTTGCTTCCCCAAGGCCATGATACCTGCTACCAGCTCTGTAGCCTCTGATGCTACTCCTCCCTATGGGACCCTGCGGGGAGGACAATCTGTGCCACCCTTAGAGGCATCAGTGGGCAGGCAGAGATCTCCCAGAGCTCCCCAGCCCTTGGGAGGTGCAGCTCAGGCCAGGCTGGCTCACACAGGAGGCCAGGCCACCCCCAGCTCCTGCACTCCCGAGGTCTTTCTGGCAGAGGGCAGGCCTTGGCAAGCCAGAGAGCCACCTTCACACAGTGGAAGACCCCTCACCTTCTGCTCTCCAGCCTAAACAAACCCATCTCCTTCAGCATCTCCCTCAATCACAACGTGCACCAGCATGGAGTTTCTCTGTCCTGTCAGCAGTGTTGGAGAGAAATGCCCCAGTGTCGGGGGAGACGAAATGGAAATGCATGCTAGGCCTTGGAGCACGCCCCTCAGCCTGAACACGAGTCCCCAGAGCCTGCTATGTCCCTTTTGGGTCATACTGGTGGGCCTTTACTCCCGCCTGCCCCTCTTCCCACTGATGCTGGTTGTATTTGCAGGTGAGGAACTGCTAATTCAGGGAAACTCTCTGGCTTGAAACCCTGTTGGTCAATGCCACGTCCTGGATTGGCACCTACCGTCTGTGACACCGCGTCCGAAAGAAAGAAGGATGCATCTCAGGGGCTCTTCAGCTTTGGGATCAGAGGGCAGGGTAGCTCCCTGATGATAATGAGAAGGAAAAGTTGCCCTCTTTTCCAGAAAAAGGGGAAGAAGAACTATGTAAGGAACTATGTAAAAGTGATGATAAAGCGGAGCAAGTTCCGTGGAGGTTCCCTAGGTTAGACAGGTGCCAGGGACTCTGTCGTAAGGCTGGTCAAACATGGGAAACAGTTGCCCAGGGATTATTGTAGAGTCTCCACATTTGCAGATGTCCATCATCCGACCAGCAAAGGCCCGGAAGAGCCTCTTCTACTTGTGCCTGCTTTGAGCTGGGCTTGGTCTGCATGTTCTCCACCCCAGGTGTTCTGTGATTGAGTGGGACACTGCTGAATGCCCTCAGTCAGGAGCAGCCGTCAAGTTGAATGGAGCAGACGGTAGCTGGGGGCCAGTGCTCAGGAGCCTTAGAGCAACCAGCCATCTCGTCCCGACCCTGCAGCTGCTGCTGCTGCTCCCAACGCTCCATCCCTTGCTGCTGCCATACCCCACCACCTCATCCGGCATCAGCCTGGTACTGCTGCCGGGAGGTGACTGCGGGGCTACCCTTCCCAGCTCCCACCAAGGGCTGCTGACAGGCACTCCTTCCCGGGACCTGCCAACAGAACCTGCCACCAAATTACAACTCTGCACATGCCAACGTGTGGTTGCACAGTCAAGAACCCACCCAGCTGCTCACTCCTTTCCCCTCCTTCAGTGGGGTGCAGGGCACTGAAAACTGGATCAGAAAGCTCATGGGTCAAGATAAATACAAGGACATGGCGTAGCAGAACTCTTGTGGGTAAACCAGCCTTGACATGGGAAAAAATAACTTTGTGCTATTTAAAACAGACTCATGTAGTGAGAAAACAAAAAGGCTAAGGTTCAACAAGCGCTTTTCCTCTCCCCTCTCCCAGGCTCAACTTTACTCCTTCACTCCAGACTCCTTTACCAGCCCAAGTGAGAGATGCATCATCCCTCTGCTCTTTTCTGCTATTTTCTTCCTTCCCCCTCTCACTGCCTAGTGTTTCTGCCCTCTGTGGAATATGTTTTCACAGAGGGGCTACAACCTTTGCGCATGGCTCAGCTGTGTCATGGGGTGGGTCCGCTGTGGAGCTGGAACTGGCTGTGTACCACACGGGGCAGCTCCTTACCTTGTCTGACAGAGCCCACCCTGCAACACCCCCTAACCCCTCCACTACCAAAGCCTTGCCATACGTAGCCAATACAGTGCCCATTGGGAATACCGTATGGCATGGCACAGGTCTCCACCCGGCTCAGAGGGAGGCATGTTCACTCTCTCCTGGGCTAACGTGGCTGCATGCTGTGCCTTTGTTTGAATTAAAAAGGCACAGCACCCTGCCTGGTTTCTTCTTAAGCACTGGATACGTCCATATCTGGTACAGTTGTCTTGTATCAGCTCAGAAATCAGCAAGTAAAATGCAGGCAATACTGGGGCAAAAATTATTATTCCTGTTGTATAATGTGGAAATAGGCCAGGTGGATCATTTCTAGCACAAGTTTCTTGATCTACAGGACTTGGTCAGATATGAGCATCTGTCACGTTTCATGCTGCATGAGCATAAGCAATTTGTTTTGCAGGACTCTACCCATAAGCTGTTCCTGGGCTAAAATCTGCCTTGTGCTGCTACAAGTTTTTGGGGGTGGACGATTGCTTTGGTGAATCCCCGTGGAGCCCTGATGAACGACGAAGTACATCTGACCAGGATGTGCCTTCGCATGCATACACAGAGGGTGTCATTTTCTTTCAGTTGTCATTTTCCTATTAAACACCACAACCAAGATGTGATCACAATGCTCTGTGACTGGCTGACAGCCAGTTCTTGGCCCCACCAGGCCCACCTGCTCTCAGGCAGACCTGTGATTGACTGTCAGGAACAAGGAATCCTAGCCGTGTACCCAGAAGCACATCAGGCAAGGAAGCTCCCACGAGGAAGATGCAACTTCTGACAACGTCATTCCCCATGGGTTCTCATATTGCATTGTGAATGCCTGGCGGCCATTTTTGACATTGTCATGCCCTCATGTTCTCAGATCTCCCTCTGATGGGCTGTCCACTTCCTTTGGACCAAGAGGTGTTCAAATATAACAAGACATAGCACGCAGTGGTATCCACTGCGGAATGAAGACAAGCAGCTGGCACAAGCAGTATTCCCATGGATGGACCATCACCTGCAGAGCAACCTCGCAGTCAACACCCAAGCGACTGTCTCGTTTCTGGCCCATTAGGTACTAGGGCAGCAGGGAGCTGCACTGCAGATCCCCGCGCTGTGTTCCTGCATCAGTCTCGATGGGGACTTTCTCTTTGGCCCCCTGAGCTGGCTCTGGGGGAGCTGAAGGAAAGCCCGGGGAGAGGGAGCAGCCTTGGGCGGAGGGGAGCTGTTCTCCAGCGAGCTCATGATGGCTGTAACCCTGCCCAGAAATCCAGCTCCCAGGGGGCTGCGGGACTTTACCTGGTGTAAAAGTCAGTTCTTGGAGAATCAAGGAGGGAAACAAGAACGCTTAGCATAGAAATACCAAGGGAATCAATTCCCCTCTTTTAGCTGTGCCCATAGTGGTGCCGCAGCCTAATGCGCAAAGGACCCTGATATAGAGGAGAGCAGGGTATGTATGTTAACAATACAGTTGTGTTGACCAGTGAACTTCCTCATGTTAAGGGTGGGCTAATCAGGCATTATTGCTCAGGATATCGGTATGTGCTTCTCCGGTGCAGCTGGTGTGGACGTATGGTCAGCGGGGTGTTAACCTTCGCTGTTCTAAACCAATGTCCCATGCAGGTGAAGGGGGTTTATACTACAGTCAGGTCCATTGCTGTTAGGACTGTCGTTACATGCCTGGGGTGCTTTTTGAAAGACAATTCTCCTATTGTTTTATCGTCTGCATGGGGTGTTCTCAGCCACTGAGACCCAGTTTATCATGGATCGTCAGGTCACATTGACCCTGAGGTAAAAGCTCTTATTCCTCGGCAGGGTTTGTTCTTCTGAGGAAGCTGTACAGCATTTAGGGCCTTTCCTTACACACCAGCTGCAAGGGCCTTCCCCTGCCTGTGCTGTGCTGTGCTGTCCTCCCTGAACAGCTCCTGGCTTGGCCTGCCTCCTGGCACAGCCCTGCCCTTGCTGATCCCCAACAGCCGAGGGTGGCCCCCACCCCCATGCAGGGTGCCAAAGAGACAGAGAAACCCCTCCCCTCCATGCCTGGTGCCA